GCATGAAATTGGGGGGGGGGGGGGAAGCTGTGTTTGTAGTTGTGCAGACGATTGTTTTTAGGTTCATCCTGAGTAATATTATAATAATAAAACTATGTATTTGATCTACAAATGATTCAGCCTTAAGAGCAAAAGTGCATATCTCTACACAAGCCCCAGCTGAAGAAATGGAGTGATCTTTGCTTCAAAAGATGGATGTGGGTTGGGTACAGATCGGGCATCCGAGATTTCCGATGCACCTAACCGCGGTTCCACCCCATCCGATTGGATTCTTCGACCTCGATCGGTGGGGTCGGGTATCAAAGCTTAAATTTTTGGATATTAAATTTTGTATTTTCAGATAGAAACATCTTATTCCAACCATTTAAAACCCGAACTTTGAACTGAAACAATCTTTGTGCGAGATGTTGAACAGAACCAGACATCAATCCTCAAGCGCTGCCCTTTTCAGACACATCTATAAGAACATGAAATCCGAAAACCCAAAAAACTCAATGAAGAAGAAGAAGAAGAGATGAAAAAGCTTCAAGATATTAACAAGACAAGACTCGAGATTCAATCAACAATGGCGAGGTTCATCTTTCCAGACCCAAAAAAAAAACCATTCTTATTTGTTATCAAACCAGTAATCCATGAACCCTACACGTTGCCTTGGCGTGCTCATGGATCTGATATTTCTCTTTGCAGTCTCTGTTTCGGATTTCAAAACCCAACAGCAGTCGTCTTCCACCGGATCCTTCTGATCCGTTCGGCTGAAAGATCTCCGCGGGAAAGAAAATGCGGAATCATTCCCATCAATGGAGTCTTGCCCTAACAAAGTCTTGAGCTTTACTTTCGACGGAACCCTTGTTTGGCTCGAACCAAGAACCGAGTTCATCTGTTTTGCAGTTCTTGATTCCCCCCAGTGCTCTATCCGACAGCTCCTCATCCCGACCCCGATCTCCTTTGTGTATATCGACTCCACTATCATATTAGGAGTTCTTCTCTCCTGCAAGAAAAACGTATAAGGATCAAGATTGAATCCGTCTGCTCGGCCGGAAATGGAAAAAAGGGTCAGAGTAATTTACCCGGTGAGAGCGGGAGTATTTTAGCATACGCTCACGCTTGATCATTCCCTCGTGCTTCCTCAACCATATGGCTTTGATGTCTTCCTTTGTAAGTGAACTGCAGTCCCAGCCGTTCTGACCGCTGCTTTCCAACTGCAGGGGGAGGAGGACACATCTAATATCGTGTTTCGACATGAGTTCAAGAACAAGAACACGTGCTTATTTACACATACATACATTTAGTTCATGTTTGATCTCCCATCTCGGCTTTGTCCAGTGCTTTCTCTCGGTGTACCTCTGAACGGCACCAACAGTAAGAATATCCTCTACCCGGGCCTCGGGCTGCGACTTTGAACTGGAGGGCAAAGATTTCAGCTCGGAAGACACTCTTCGTCTCACTGACCGGCCACGCACTATTGCTTGAAGCCTCACCAGTGCCTTCAATGCTCTTAATGCTTTCCTGGCCTATTTGGATCATGTGGTTGGGAAAGTGAATAACTTTTTTTTTTTTGGAAAAAACCCGAAAAAGAATCCATGATTTAGGCTGAGACTATCATATGGTGTCTGACCAGATAAGCCCGGAAGGCGCTCTGAATCTTGATGGCAGCCGAGTTCGGGTCAGGCTTCTTGGAGTAATGTTGAGACATGAAGGCGTTACCTGCCAACCGGACAACCTCAGCAGCCGCCTTAGCAGCTGCAACCGCGGCCTCTGCGGCTGGA